TGTTAACCACTTTTTTCCGGAAATTAAAAAAGACAATCTATAAACGCAATCGGGCCATATATTAGGCAATGATCATCTTTGTTCTCTTCCTTTTAATGTAGGTATAACAAGAGCTTTATTCTAGGCAATTAGTAAAATCATCATCTTGCAGTCTCAAGTCTATCGTAGAGAGTGAGAAATGTTTCCAAAGAATTACAGGATATATATGCGATCTATAGAGGTATTTAATGTTATCAGAATTATTACTGATTTTATTTGTTTCGATAGCATTCTTTTAAAGTCAAGTGTTATGAAGCTTCAATTATTGTAACTTCTATAGCGGGAAGAATCAAGAAAGGCCAAGCGTCTTCATTTATTAGCTTGTAAAATATAAATGTTTGTAAGTAATTGCCTAGATTAGACACCATTAGAAAGAGAACATTAAAAATTTCTGATTCAAATTGACGATAAAAATTGATTGAAACAGGCATCTTTGACAGCCTACATACATCTCTGGGAAAGGGCAAATGATTGGATTCTCCATCGTTTTAAAACAGAGTTGTCCAAACAATCCATAATTGAGAACATTGCTTTGATTTTGTATCTCATTGAAATGCTAAAATTATACGTTGTTTTGAATGATATAGGCAATCAGTTACGTTTTTATCAAACACTTTTATTGGTGAATTATACGACGTTCATTAAATGCGCTTGATATTGACTTTTATATAAATGAAATAAATTGGTGATAGCGCCATACCATTACCGGTGGCATATTTCACAAGTGCACATCTGCGTGTGCACTGAGAGGCACACTGAGAGGTTTCGAAAATGGACCAATGAGCTCCTATTGCTCTTGTGATGCTAAATATTTGGGCATGTGAGCGTAAGCTGTTTACTTTTTAATTTGTATTTATTTCGTAGTTATAAATGTATGGCGTAATAGCAGAAAATCTCATAGTGCTTTTGGTTAATGAGCTTAATTAATCGCTGACATTTCACATACGATTTTTATCACGCATTGATGTTTGGATTGAGAAAATGACTCAAGCTACAATTAGCCTCGAATGTTATGCATTACTAACACCTGTGGATTAAGAAAAATGCAAGTGTATAGTTTTATTTTTATTGAACTGAAAGGATAGAAGCGTTAAAAGAATCTAGTGTCTTTTTTTCATGCTTGCATTATTTTTTTTGAAGTGTAAGATTCAGATTCATACGTGTGATCAAATTATATCCATTGTTAACATTAAAAGACATGTGAATAAATTGAATATATTCGTTGAGAATAACATAAATTCATTCTTCTTTGATGAGTATTTCTTGTGTAAACAGTACATTTAAGAGCGAGCGGTTAGTAAATGTGAAATTTAACACACTAAATGTATACGAATGCAAATTAGTAAAGGTCACTTTGAATAATATTCTGCATTGGCTATTATTATAGAACCTATTTTTCATATAGACTGATAACAAAAAATATTTCATACAGACTGCAATAAAAAGTGCCGAGTTCTATTGCCATATGTAATTGGTGTAAATATTTTTCTCATATGCATAGTTCTATGTAAAGATAGCATTTGAGCTCAGATTTTTATCACATATTTTTTCCTTCATCTTATTAAGTAATATTTCACATGGATATTTTTGCGGACTATAGAACATCTGTTGTTTGTATTTATTTCAAATTCTTTCAACCAGATAATAAAATCTTCACAATTGCTTATATTTGATTTAACTTTTCAATGAAAATTTTGAGAAGAAATCGACAATGCTTTAATTATTTTTTACCGAAAATTGAGTGCCAAAATATATTCAACCGTCTTGCTTAAATCTTAAAGTGCGCGAAAGGTCATGTGACATGACAGAAGTATTACTGGATGCCTATTGGTCCAAATCAGAAGCCACACCTTTGGTGGCTACACAGATGTGCACTTGTGAAATATGCTTACCGGTGCACTATCAATAGCAAATGGCATGAAGAATTTTCATTTTTCTAAGAAAGAATAGAATTTTCAGAAGAATTTTCATTGTTATAAGAAAAGCATCAGAAATATCGTTTCTTCTCAACTATCTTCTGTTAAGAGCCGATAGTTTAGATGAAATGATAGTAAATAATAATTCCTTGCAACAGTATTTTTTCTTTCATGAATCGGACATGTCCTAATATTAAAGCTTCATTCTCTAGCAAAGCAGATTTATACAGCATTAAACTAGAATGGATTGTTTTTAAAAATCATCTAATGAATCATGGACGTTTTAGGACATTTCATTAATATGATCATGCGCTGGATTATTGCTCAAAGAAGTTTTTATGATAATATTGAGTGAATTGCAATTACATGTTTTATGTATTTTGTACGTAAATGAAAGTCTGGAACTTGAACTTCATCAAATAATTAAAACTCATCACAAAATTCAACAATTCAACATTTGGTGAAGTGAAGTTAATTTTCAACTATATTCTTATCGCGGATGGGCCACTCAACCTTCCCCCTACCGATCATATGACCAACAGCGCCCGCACTTGGAAACACTAGTTTAAGAAGTCCTTCGTGAAGACGTATGCCATTTAGTTTGACAACCTTAATCATTAATTAATCATATTCAATGCCTAATCTTGTGCAATTTTACTTTAGAGTTGGAAACTCCTCTTGGTAACATGAGATTCACTCTTTTTTTGTTTTCTACTACTTATAGCTTCTACATCCTTTCTTTTCAATTTGTTATTTCTTACTGAAGTTTTTGAGTACCATGCAAATATAAATTAAATACTTCCTCTGGTGGTTGTGTCGTCTCCACGGAAACCCAAAACTGATTACAAAGGACCATGTGTAGACAAAAAGCAAACAGCTATCTCAGTGAGTTTCTCAGAATGCAGCCGCTCGGGATCAAGTGTATATTCTTCAAGAAGAATCAAGGCCTTATAATTGCGGGAAAGGTAAAAGTATGGTCAGGGCTAAATGTTTATTGGTCACAGTTGTTGAGAGATCTTGTGCTATCGCTTTCTGTCTTCATACCCCTGAGTTATAGTTTTTGTGGTTTCTCAATCAGCATTAATTTCACAAATCTGGTAGTCTTTCTTGTTGGCATTTCCTCTGTGTCGATACTTTGCGAAAACATCGTCAAGAGCAATTTAGTTATTATTGCTATGTTCAGATCTCTTGCTTCTTTGACAAGGCCTGTTTGCGATTTCTTTTCCAGTAATGCCAGCGTGAGCAGGCATCCACTGCCTAATACATATTTTATCTAGCTCGTGAGTTTCCTTCAGCTGATGCTGAATAGCTTGGGCAAGAGTTTACTGTATTTATTGCTTCCACGATAGCTCTGGAGTCACAGAAGACAACAAAACTATTTAGGTTTTACGTTTCTCATGTGACTCATCTGACATATGACATTCATCTAAGACTTTGTTTATTGCTCACAGCTCGTTAGTAAAATATGAGGCAAAGGTGTGTGTGTGTAACTTTGTGGTTCTATATTATACCATTTGGTAGCGCTATATATGTATGCCAGCTCAGCAGTTCTGGATAGTTTCGTCAGCTGAGCCGTCAGTATATGGATAGATGAGGTTACTTTCTCATACTGTTTTAATAGTCTACATTCCCTTTTCAAAGATAGTAGTTGTTAAGGGGGCTCATACACCTTAAACCCCTTATGAGCTTCAAATTATGGGACTGTTGCAAGAATTGAGATATTTTATTTATTTTAACAGTAATTACCTCCAACGTTTTACAGCTGACTATATAATATAGCTACTTTGGAAACTAGTAACCAGAAAGTTTGTGTTGCCACAAATATTTTTGTAATTTAATCCGCTTTGTGACAAAATGTTTCGTCATTTTTCCACCCTTGGCGCCATGATATTTTAAAAATGGCTAATGGGTACATACTCGAAATTTGATGAATTCTTTTATGGGCACTATTTTCTAACTGAATCAAAAATCTGATGAATATTTTTGATATTAAAAAATTTATGCACGAAAACATTACAGATTTTTTTAATAAATACATTTTATAAACTCACTCCAAATAAAATAAAATTTAACATGAAATTCTCAGTTTTTTTTTTTTTTTGGTTTATAGTAGTTTCCAAATGTTATGAAAGCTATATATAAACTATAGAATTAAATAATGCAACATATAATTTTAAACTGTGCGCGCAAGGTGGAAACATGACGAAACTTTTTGTCACAAAGCGGATTAAATTACAAAAATAGTTGTGGCAACACAAACTTTCTGATTACGATTTCAGAAAGCAGCTATATTATGTAGTCAGCCATAAAAAGTTGGAAGTAATTGCTTTTAAAATAAATAAGTGATTCCAATTCTTACAACAGTCACATATTCGAAGATCATAAGGGGTTTAAGGTGTATGAGCCCCCTTACTTTTTTCGCAACTACTGTCTTTGCAAAGGAAATGCAGACTATCAAAACGAAATCAGAAAGTAAACTTATAAGGTATTTCTCCAGCCTTCCTAGCGTGCCTTCGTGGTGTAGTGGTTCTGCACGCTGGCCCGGTATCCAGAGGCCCGTGGTTCGATTCCCGGCGAAGGCGATTGCTCATTTTTCATCTGTCCGGCTTCCAAAAATCACCTAATGTCTCTACAACCTCGCCCTTCAATTTAGCCGAATAGTTGGCATAATGATGGCTAAAAAAAGACGTTCATTTAAACTTGAGGCAAATGTTTAAGCACCTCGAAGTATGTGTTTAATAGGAAGTCAACAAAAAATCGTTAACAGTTTTACTTATTGCAGTGCATGTCAAAGAGAAATTTTAAACAATTGGCTTAGTCTAAAATAAATTCTATTATTTATGTAAAATTTATGCACTTTTGAGATAACATTAGTTATTTAAACTTTCTGGATTACTTCAAATGTTTAAACTATACAAGTTTCCTTAAAACTTTATTAACTATTTTATTTAACCCTCTCATGATGTAGATTTTTGTGTGTCTATTATTATGAACGTTGTGTCCAAGAAACAAATCTTAACATAATAATTTAAAACAAGCATTTATTTACTGTTTTTTGAAGTTTCAAAATAACACTCACGTCACAAAAAATGAAATAGAGTACAATAATAGTGTTAGAAAAATTAAAGTAAGATTCTAATGTACTTTTGTGAAAGAAGTCTCGTTACAATTATTTAATTTGAATTTTATTCACTGGTTAATAACAAATATGGAACATTTTCTCCATTTGAGAAATTTTAAGTACAGTAGACTTTTCACTTTACAGCTGAGTTGAAGTTTCTTTATGAAACTATTATTACTATATAACTTATTTCACATTATGTAGCACTGCAGGGTTTTTAATTTACAAATATAATTCTTGAACTTTGAAATCTCTTAAACATTATTTTATAGTAATACAAACCATGTATACATACTACTTCAGTTCCTATGAAAGGACCTTTTCGACTTATATCAGCTTATTTTGTATCTGATCTTTTTCCACAAAAGAATACAAAATGTTGAGAGAAAATAAAAAAGTATAAAAGACCGTTATGCAAAATTCGGAGTTTTGTTTTCTTCTGATTCTCATATACTGTAAGAACTGTGAAGAAACAATGTTCATTTCGTAAGAAACTGTTTATTAGCGACAATATCATTCTGCTTATTTTCATCAATTATTAAACGATAAACCATTTAGCAATTATACACGCTTAAGTAATTTCCCTTTTCATTACACCATACCAGTCGTGCGCATTATGAAAAAGTGTTGAATATTCATTAAAAGTAGCAAACATTTTGAATAGATTTAAAAATTAAGTGATAAAAAATAAATTATACGTCAGATTTTTAAATTATAGTTTAAAACTTGCTTTTTTTTTTTTTCAAATTATTTCCCATAAATTCTGAGTTTTTTTAAATGTTGATTTCATTGCTTTCTTAAATTTCGCTTTAAACTATCGACATGTTTGCACTTCAAAAAATTTTACTTTTGTTACTGTAAACACATACATTATACTCTAAATGATTTCAATTCGTTTATTATTAAAATTTCACTTACTTTACATCATATATATATACACACTGGTATAGATATATAGCTATATAAAGAAAGGATTTTACATTTAAGAGTTAAAGTGATTTTCTGAGTGTTTAATCTATTTAGCTGACGGTGTAAAGCAAAAAAACTCAATCAAAAGTAATTTCCATTTTCATTTCACCTTACTAATAATTACGAAAAATAATGTAATATCTCTTTTCCCTATACTTAACCAATAATTCTATAAATTTAATTTATATTAAAATATTTACTATGCTTAGATATTAGTTCATTTATGATCCTAGTAATCTTTCAGATCAATAAAAAGTATTCCTTTTTTTTTTCAAACGTTTGCAAATTCATTGGAAGAGCTCTCAGTATAACCGTGAAAATTCTACTGTACAATTGAAGAAAAATATTAGTCTAGTGACCCCGTTGGCAGAATGCGACCAGGTTTCGTTACTGGAGCGGAAAACACCTCCTTATTCTGATGCTGATGCTGATCAAGTGTAGGAATACCTTGGCAACTAGTGGTTGAAGAATCGCATTTCAAGCAAGCACAAGATGTCGCCTCATAATATTCATATGCGGCAGTGCTAATATCAGCTCCAGGATCGCAGTTTTCCAGCAAAGTGTACCGGATCTGTCGACTCTCATGTACGCAGACGGGGTGAAAAGGTCTTTTGAAGGGAAACCTCCAGTCTCCAATCTGTAAATTGAAAATAAAATGCCATTGCATATCTATTTAAAACAAAAATTTTTAGTATACGTACAGTAAATAAATTTGCATACTTTAATGTCTTTCAAAATTAAAGTATCCAAAATAAAACGCATAAATTATTTTTTATATAACCCTGCAACTAGAGCTATGATTGGTTAATCAAATATCATTAGCTGAAAAAAGTAAATATCGCATAATAAGTATTCGAATTTAGCAATTCCTTTTAAGCCCTTTGCGCTAAAAAATGCATTTTATTTAAAAATTCCAACAAAGATTTCGGAATAGAAAATAAATACGATTTATAATTTGGCATTTTCTTTAAGCTTTGATAGCATTAAACTGCATACTGCTACAGTCGATGGGCTGTATAAATCTGGAACTTTCGAGAAGAAATACTTTTAACGACAAAATCCCTACTAAGTGTCTACTGGGGTGCTGCGTATATGATTAAATTCAATTTTATCAGAACAATTTTTATCGTATCCATGAGAATTCGGTGAAGGGCTTTCGTGATGTGTTTTGAAAGACAGTAAAAGAGTCATTCCCCTAGTTCCAGATTTATAAGTCACTATGTAATATTCATGCACTAAAATAACAATTTTCAAATTTAAGAAAATTGCATCTTATAGTGGTTGCATCATTTAGCATAAATGTTTTTGCGTTATAAACTATATAAAAGATTTTCATTTGCCATGTGTTTCCGAATAAAGTATCGCATTTTTCTGAGATGTGATGTTTGAGCTTATTATATTACCACTTATTACACCACATATATATTCCCACAACACACGACAGGATGGTACTTAATTAATACTTGAAATTCCCAGTGTATAGACAATATACATGTATGTATAATAAGATGACCTTTTCAAATGCAATGCACAACTCAATGGATTATATGACTTAGTCGCAATAATATTTTATTCCGGCAGGCTAGAAGAAACGGAAGATGTTTTTAGCAGTCCCTATAATTCGTTCTTAAGAATGACGAAACGTATGTGAAATATTCGAAGTTAGGAGCCCACCAGGGGCCGAGCGGTAAAATCGCTTAACATTGGATGCTCGGCCCGGGTTCCCCGGCATTGAATCTCGACGAAGTCAACTTCCCTTAAAACGTGTTGCACGAAGGTATCCCTTTCTTAAGACAGAACGTTTAATTCTTAGAGGATTTGAATCAGCTAATATTTAGTGCAGAAAATACCTCAACAAATGCCGGATCCTATCTAGAACCTCAGATTTTTCAAACATTTAGAAGTAGCAAAACTGCACAGATAAAATAAAAGAAACTGTATAGGTCAAGTTTTTTTTGGGGGGAGGCATTTTAATTATCTTCAGTAAAACATAGGAGTGCATTGCTTTTGAAATCATTTCCCTATAATGTAAGTTCACTTAAACTGAAAGCGATAGTAAAAGGTGCGTAAACTAAGAGAGTGCTGGAACTCTCTTAGTTTGGAATACTTTGTACACTTCTGAAATTGTTATAATTTAAAAATAATAATAATAATAATGGTGTGATTTAATTCATATACGGTGATTTAATTCATAATCGGATTTAATTCATAATCATAATTAATATATATATATGTGTGTGTGTGTGTGTGTGTGTGTGTGTAAGATAAAATTACTTAAATCAAAATTTAAATTTAAATTAACGGTAATCCTTCAATTCCCCTTCTCTGTTTTAAAAATCCTAACAACTTCTCTGGATGGCGTTATTACTAGATCATTCCGTCTTGCATGGCCTGCGCAATGCTGATGACGTAACTCTTGGGAATTGAAACTTTTCTAACCTAAACCAAAACTTTCTCTTAACAGCTTTCATATAGGATAAATGCGCCACTTCAGCATTTATCTCTATGCTGCTAGGACGTAATTTCTCTGTGCTCTCTTTGCTATCGCAAAAGTATAAAAAATGTAAATGTTCTGTGAATAGACACGACTAAAGAGCCAAGTGATTGTGGTCATAAATGTCAATAAGAAATAAAAATGTATTTAAAACTGCCTCGACTGTCAAGTTTCTTAGATATTACAAACTCAACATATTAACATACTACGCAATCAGAATTCTTCTACTTCAAGATGGATTGCCGCTCTACATCAAGTACCTAAGTCAAACAACACTGCTACGCTTCTACGTCTCAGTGTTCCTACGTCAGTGCTTCCAAAATTTTCATTAAACATATCATATATATATATAATGTTGTATGACCTTAAATTCACTTAGTTCGAAAACAAGTTTTTCTAATACTTGCGCAATAGATGCAAAATAAGATAATAATAATTCATTTACTAAAAGATATTGATTATATTATCTCCTAATATAAATTTAGTAGAAGTATCTAAAAAGAGTGAACCCATATGTAGGAAGTTTAATTCCGAAAATTGTGTTTGAAGTAACTTGAATGTAAATTGTTAAAAATGTTTTACGGGGCAATTTTCGGCATTAAACTTCCTACATATGGGTTCCCTCTTTTAAGATACTTCTACTAAATTTATATTAGGAGATAAAGTAATCAATATTTCTGTAGTATATATATATATATATATATATATACTATAGAACTATTGATATATATATATATGTATACATATATGTGTGTGTGGGAATTCAACATCCATTTAAATTTTAAATTATGAAAATTTAATTGTATACAAACAAAATATTAATTATTATTGCGAACTAATTTGCAATATCATTCAAATTCAGAAAGCATATGTAAATTAAGTGCAAGTATCTAAAAACATGAAAAGTATTTAATAATCAAAAAAACTTAATCCTAAAAATTTTAAAGAATAATTTTAAACTAAATTAATTTGCATAAAGTGAATAATTTTTGAGCAGGTAGGAGACAAATCATTTCAAAGGGAAGTTGCCTCCAAACCTAAGTCTTTTCGTGCACTAACACGAATTACTCAATTTGTGTTTCGTCATCCATATAGGCATGGGTAAAGAACTATTCCAAACCAAAAGTAAAACCAAAAGTAGTGAATTTCTTAAATAAGAAATTTAACTATAAAAGAATTTCGAAAAATTTAATAAGTAAATCGACTAAATATGTATAGACTAAATATAAATCGACTAAATATATATCGAAACATATAATCGACTATATATATATACATATAACAAGCAAGGTAGTTAGTACAATACTGTTTGACCAATTTGGTCTAGAGAACATTTTGCGCATTATGCTGCAAAATAAGTAAATTAGAAATAGTAGTAAGCTCGCCTAAAAGTTATATATCGTTTAATTTTTTCTTAACTATCTGCTTTAATTATCTGCTTTTAAAGCATTATATTGTGCAATTACAAATACACTCATGTCCATAAATTAAGGATAATTCTGAGTCACGCGGAAATCGGACTCTAAAATAAATATATCGCCTGTAAAATCACTACACACATCTTCAAGAATCATATGCAAATTTCAGGAAGTAACCAGATGACAACAATGGTACGTCACAATGACGAGAGTGTAAGAGAGTGATATATAAGGAATACAGACAAAGAAGTAAATTGTTCGCAGGCGCTTTATAAGCAATAACCGAATAGTTATGACACAAAGGACGCATTTGGATGACTTTTTACGTGGTAGAATTATCGGCCGTCTGGAATGTGGGCGTACCCAACTGGAAGTATCAGACGAACTTGGAATTGCCCAGAGTGTCATCTCCAGGCTTTGGCAACGATTCCAAGATGATGGTAATGTGAGTAGACGTTACAGCACAGGTCGCCCCAGAGTTACAAAGCCGAATGAGGACCGGTATTTGGCAGTTACTGCCAAAAGAAACAGGCGGAGCACAGCCTCAGACCTGTCTCCTCAGCTCTCTTCAGCCACTGGTACGACAATTTCAAGGCAGATCGTGTACAGACGCTTAGGGCAGATTGGTCTATATATGCTCGTAGACCTGTCAGATGCGTTCCACTTACTGCAACTCACTGTCGCCTGCGGTTAGCCTGCAGTAGAGAGCATGCATTGTGGACAGCGCAACAGTGGGCTTGTGTGATGTTTTCCGACGAGTCCAGGTTTAGCTTGCAGTCTGATTCTCGCCGGACTTTCATATGGAGAGCTCCAGGTACCCATTACCACCAAGGAAACATCATTGAACGACACCGTCACGGTGGTGCAGGAGTGCTTGTTTGGGGTGGAATTATTCTGGGTTCCAGAACTGACCTGCATGTTCAAATTGGAACCATGACAAGCCAAATCTATCGGGACGTCATTCTGGAACAACATGTACGTTTGTTTCGGGGCGCCATGGGCGCACAATTTGTGTTTATGGATGACAACGCCCGTCCTCATCGTGCAAACATTGTAAGCGAATGCCTTTAATCGGAGGATATCACCCGTATGGATTGGCCAGCATTCTCACCGGACTTGAATCCAGTAGAGCACATGTGGGACATACTTGGCCGACGAGTTGCAGCCCGTCAACCTCCTCCTACATGTCTACCGGTACTTCGGAGAGCATTGCTTTTTGAGTGGTGTAATATTCCCGAAGATCAGATCGATAATTTGATACTCAGCATGCCTAGGCGTTGTAAGGACTGTATTGCACCGTCTGGGAGACATACAATGTATTAACAATCATACCAACCATGCAATATTGGTTTTTTGTAAATAGGGTTTTTTTTTGTAATTTTCTCCAGGGAGAAAAAATCGCTAATGTTTTTAATAATATCAAACATATAGCATCTTATTTTCCTCTTTAACTTTTGTTTAATAAATAAACTTTACAAATAAGTCAAATTTGTTTTGCTTCTAACTCTTCCTTTGCCTGATTTTGCATTATCCTTAATTTATGGAGAGTGTATTTTTATTTTTGCTGAAAATTTAGAGGGAATTTACACGTGCTATGAAAAACTATTTTGAGTAAATCAATTTTCCATGCAATATTCTTTCAATAGACGGCACGTAATCTGTAACACCTCTTAATTATAAAAGCTTAGTTATTAGTTGAAAGATACCAAAAATATTTTAATAGTA